TCCTAAATGATTAATTATTAATTGAAATATTTACTCTCATATGCTAAGTCGCCTTCAACTCTGTTGCTATTCCTCAATCAGCCATCCATCCATGAGAATCGCGTCCAACATGAGCTTATTATGCCCACAAATGAGGAAGGTTCAGTCGATGCACCGGCCACTTATATGGAGGGCAATTTTATTTCAGCTTTGGATTTTGCCACTGCCCATCAAAGCACTCCTCAACAGGTCAGGACTTTTCCACAGCATCACGCCTCTGATCAATTATTGTCCTCTCAACATTGTTCTGGCCAACCAATTTTACAGGATGTCCTGTCGAAACGAGAGACAGATCTTGGATCCTCGCACTGGCAGCAGTCACTTGAAGAAAGTGATCAGCTGACACACCAACGGCCTCAACAGATGGGGCCATTTACTTCCAATTCTTCACCTGCCTCTGCATCTTCTTACGACGAACGGCATGTTAGCGGTCATTCGAGCCGCCATGACATCGGTGAATCCAGCTTCTTGGCTACAACTGAAAAAGAAGAGGCTAAATTGAACATTCAGCCTTTCCAGAATAATGAGTACGAAGTAAATCTAAAAAGGCTTGACAAGAAACTTAGTATTTGTCAGCAAGGAGATGACTTCTTTCAGCACTCCGCGGACGAGGTCGGTGCTGATGGTTACGAACGAGATTACGCTGGCGATCAAGAGGTTGCCATAGCGAGTGAAGAGCACAAGGAGGGGAAAGAACAAGGAAGCCGCGAAAAAGGGGGTGAGAGCTATGGGACTGAAGAGGGAAATACTTCTCTATATGCGGATCCATTAAAACACCGTCATGGCGAACCTATGACTCTATCCGTCGTCAAAAAGACTCTTATGAATCCATCCAGAGTAGCCAATCATCTGATGGTCATTCACAACTCGCACCAGCCAGGAAAATGTGAGTATTTATCTTCTTTGACCCGGCTTTTATTAGATAATTTATTAAATAATTGAACCTAACTTAAAAACCTTCCTTATTTAAATTATTGCTCATTTATTTTTTGTTCCCCTTTCCTAACTATCGAAGGTATTTTTCCTAGTATTCCCTTTATATCGAACTCAGAATGTAAGATAGGTAAAATTTCTACCAGCGGTTTAGAAGGAGCATTTGAATAATTCTTTTTGGGCTGTTGCCCATCAGCATGAATTTTTTCTACTACTTATCACATCTAGGAAGATATTAGATTTTAGCGTCCAATATGAGCTGTTTATACTATATGTCGTATTTAATGAAGGACCTTATAAAACCTGGAGTGAATATAGTTCTTATTCAATATATAAGAACTATTACATGAGATGTATTCAACCTAATTAGTTAGGATGAGAGAGGACTGGTAATTGAATTTTCCTACAATGATATGAATATACCTTACGTTTCCATTTAATTTCACATAACCCTGCTTCCCAAAAAATGTGCTCATCCAAGATAGACTGCAGTTTTGACCTCGCCTAGGTCTCAGCATCCATAGAGAGACTCGAATTATGATAATGCAGCATATAATCTCTCTGGTATTATATATTCGCGTTGAATGTCTTAAATATGGCAGAGCTGGTTCTACCTGACTCATTTTTCATGAGCTTGCAACTTTTCAAGCCAAGGCAAACCGACTGTATAGAAGGGTTTAGAGAAGGAAATGTTAATAATCTTGTGCTAGCCTGAATTTGTAATTGGCATTTCTATATTCTTCCGTTAATAAATAGGAATTTAGTAGTTTAGAGAGTAAGGTAGGACCTGGTGTTTTTATTCATGGATAATTGATATGCTCAGGACCAGTAGAAAAGAGGATTTTATTTATTCTTACAAATTCACTCTGCCACATGTCCAAAATGTAAACTTTTTTAGGGAGCGTATGTGTTTTGACCTTGCTTGGGTCAACTCGTAATGGAAATTGGAATCCTGAAGTTGCATTTCTTAGGCAAATGTGTTATCCCCCTCACCTCACGAGCTACAGTGCAGAAATAAAGTTAGATGTATATCGTGGTCGTACAACATATTAGGGTCTAACAACACCAATTAACAAAACTCCTTTCATTAGTAAAACGAATTCTTATAGGAATTGTTTTACACCATTGTTATTGTAGAATCTAATTTGCTAGCAAAATCTTGCCTACATTCTCTATGTATCCTAACGATAGGCATGAGGGTGTGTCCATCACGCCTTAAATTGACCTAATTAATAAAGTGTTTGTGAGGCCGT